CCAAGTACTATTTTGTTCGAAAGAGAGCCTGTAAAGGCATGCTAAACTTAATGTGTTCATATCCCTGGGCCGAGTCCCAAAAGTAACAGGACAATGTGCTATTTATTACTAATCATGTGATATTTTACTTAGCGAAAAGCAAGAGCTTGATGGTCCTTCACACCGGAGATGCAGATGTTTTAAAGTCTCATTTGGCTTTGTGGAAAAACATCCATCCTACTGAGGAGAAATGAAATCCAAAGTTCTTGAAAAATCAAATAGAAAAGAATCATGAGTCTGTTCAGTGGGGAGATAACAAAGGTTTCTAACCAGAGAACCCACAGGGGTAAGGGAGAGAGAGTTTGGAAGGCTAACCCTGGGGAGATGCTCTTTTGAGACGCAGATGCTCTATGAACTCAACAGGTAGAAGTCTAAACAGGGAGAGAAAAGGATGGATAGAGGAAGTCTTAGAATTCTCTTCAAAAACATCATAGGAGGGCTTCCCTGGTGGCGCAGTGGTTGAGAGTCCGCCTGCCGATGCAGGGGACACGGGTTCGTGCCCCGGTCCGGGAAGACCCCACATGCCACGGAGCAGCTGGGCCCGTGAGCCATGGCCGCTGAGCCTGCGCGTCCGGAGCCTGTGCTCCGCAACGGGAGAGGCCACAACAGTGAGAGGCCCGCGAACCGCAAAAAACCAAAAAAGCAGAAAGAAACATCATAGGAGAGGGTACAGAAGGAAGAGAGAATAATGCCCAGTAGATGTTTGATATAGGAATATAATTTTAAGCCTTCATTACACAGGATTAAAATAGATGAATGTACAGAGACCATGGTTGGTACCCAGAAGTCTGAATCAACACACTGGACCCAGATCTGGAAGCCCATCACATTACCAAGAAGCCAAAAAATATTGCTTTATACTTGACTAGGCCCAATAATGGGCCTTTAGATTCCTTTATGGGTTTTTCTTTAAGGTGTATGAATTTGGGGAATTGATTTTTAAAGGCAGTAGTGTGCTTTGTAAATAAAGGCAAAAATGCGAATTAGAGACTATGTGTAGTTTAAATTACTCCTCAAAACCAGCCCAGCCAGAAAAATGTTATTATCTTGTTTTATAGATGAGAAAAGCAAGTCTTGGAGAAATTAATTAATTTTCCCAGGCTCTGGTTTATTAAGTGGAAGAATGAATACATTTTAGCCTTTATCCCTTCCACCTGCAAACAGACATTTGTTGAACACCTACTGTGTGCTTATTCTGGACACTGAGGACCAAATGATTATTTAAGCCTATAGCTATCTGATCCTGGAGAACATTGTTTTTCCACCAGAGTCTAGTGACAAAACTCATTTAAATCTGAGTTCATGGAAAGTTGGATTAGTCTGTGATTATGCAAGATGGTAAAGAGATTGGCATGGGTTGGAGAGGGTATGGGAACACACACAAAAAAAAGGCACGAAGACTTAATGCTAGATTTATAGGCTTAGTGGGGAGGATCCAAACCGTTTTGCCTGATACTTTAAAAAATAATAACAATAGAAACAACAACAAAAATAATAACAAACTTTTATGGCTGCATTTTCTGATTATAAAACTTCTAAAAAAAAGTAGAAAGAAGCAAAACACATTCTCAGTGTTACAAACCAGAGATAATGACTGTAATTATTTTAAAGGATGTTTTTGCAGTCTTTTAACCCTTTGGCTCCTTAAATTGTTTTTCTTTGGTTTTGGTTTTGAAGTTTTATATGATATGTCTATGTATGGTTTTCTTCATATTTATCTGGTTTGGGACTTAGTAAATCTGTAGGTTGATGTCTTTCATCAGAAAACTTTCAATTATTATCTCTTTACATATTGGTTTTGCTCCATTCTCTCTCTCTTCTTCTGGGATGCCAATTACACGTATTAATTAACCTCCTCACTGTATCCTTACATTTTCCTTACATTTTTCACCTTTTTGAGTCTTGGGGTTTGTTCTGAATCTTTTCTTTGAAGTTATCTTTCAGTTTGTTAATCCCCTTACACTGTATCCGGTTTGCTATTAAACTCAGCCACTGAATTTTTACTTTATGTCATTATAACTTTTTGAGTTCTAGATTTCTCCTTTGGCTATTTTTTAAGGTTTTCAGTTTTCTACCAAAGTTCTCAATTTTGTCTTTTATTTCCTTGAATATATTCAGTCTATTTATTTTTCAGTAGTGTCAGACAACTACATTATCTGAATCCTTTATGAATCTGTTTCTAATGTCTGCATTTCTCTTGAATTTCAGCTGTGCAGTCTCACCTTCCATTGAACCCTCACTTGGAAGCATCATTCAGCTCAACCCTGGTGACATTTCATGAGCATAACTTAAAACCAAATAAATAGTTCTCCATTCTAAGATTTTAGCAAGTTTAAGGTGCACCGTTGATTTAATTATAGCTGTTCTGGGGATTGGGAGTAAAGAAATATTACAGGAAATGTAGGCATGTGACCTGATTTCAGACACATCACGTTATAAAGGAATAGGCATTTAAGAATTATAGAAATATGGCAGAATTCCTCAGCCGTGGGCAGACCTGTTTGGATATCTTGAGTCCGTTTCCCTTTAAACCTTCCTTTAAAGCCTCTTCAGTGAGAGGAAGAAAGAACCTGAATTGTCATGAGGCTTTATTACCTCCAAGTGCTCGAGAACTCTCCAATGTTCCTGCCAGTTAAACGCACATGAAATGTAACAGAAATAGGATCCAGGAGAATCCTGCACGTAGGAGATCATGGAGTGGGAGCCAACTGGACCAGGAAGCTACTTACTTCTAAGAGGAGAAAAATGCAATGATTAGGCTTACAGTAGAAGCCTCTTCTTGCCTTCCGCTGAGACTGATGTGGCTAGAGGCTAGTTCGTTTCCTTTCAGTATTCCAAGATGGGTCTTAAGTATCACCCGATCGTTCTTGGCCATGAGCTCTAGCAAGCAAAGCTCAAAATGGATGAGGAGCTACACTTGAATTACACAAATCATAGCCCTTTGATATAGCCTAACAGGCCACAGATTCAAGTGTCTGCTGGAGCCAGGCAGCTGGTCGCTGGGGGCCTGTGGCCGAGGCAAGGCTGTGTGGTCCAGTCCAGGCAGGGAGCTCCTCCCCACACCAGCTGATTCTTGCTGTGTGAGCATACAGACCCAGGGTTTCCGGAACTGAATTTTGTCAGAAGCCAGGAACACAGATTTCTGTGAGAAATGCCCTGATTTTTATGTTGACAGTGAATTCCATTTTCTAAAACTTGCATGTATAACACATGTTTTGGAGATGATTGAAGTCTGTGGGCTTTTGCTGGTTGTTTCTGGGCTACATGTTCAGCATTGAATGAGTCTGTACTATAGGAAGGTGGCCCCATGACTGAAGCAATATGGAATGCTTGCTCTCGCGCCATAGAGGGGTTCCTGGAAATATAAGCACTGGGGGACTTTCTGAGTCCACTTGAAGCTTCAGAAAAGTGCATTGCCCTCACTATACCATTTCAGTATTGGTTTTTTTTTTGGTTTTTTTTGCGGTACGCGGGCCTCTCACTGTTGTGGCCTCTCCCGTTGCGGAGCACAGGCTCCGGACGTGCAGGCTCAGCGGCCATGGCTCACGGGCCCAGCCGCTCCGCGGCATATGGGATCTTCGCGGACCAGCGCACGAACCCGCGTCCCCTGCATCAGCAGGCGGACTCCCAACCACCGTGCCACCAGGGAAGCCCGCATTTCAGTATTTTTTTAAACAGCTCACTCAGTGAGGTCCTTTTTTGACACTTAAAATGGGGCTTTGGAGTCAACCCTCAGGGAAACTGCTCAAAGTACATAGCCCAAAACACACAGAGTGTCATTGAGATCATCTGTCATGTGATCTACAGGCAGTCTTAGAGCAGACAAACCAGAAACTTGGACAATATTAGCAACCTTGCCAAATTGCACAGAGGAATATTCATTAATTTTTCATTCTCAAATATTGTAGAAGTATTATATGAATGGACATTAATTTCTTGCCTGGAGGCAAGCGAGTAAGTTGTTTGAAAGGTAACTGGGACATTTATGGGAAGTAAAGCATGTCCAGTGCATAATTGTATTGCGTGAGGAATGAACCTGTGTCTTAGAAAAAATGATTAAAAAGAGACTAGGGAGGCTGATAGAGTGATTGGTACCCAAACTCAGTAATTAAAGGTTGAATTCTTCAGGGGACTTACTCTGTGTCCTTAGGCAAGTAATATTCAGTAATTTGCCATAATCCATTTGAGAAAAATATGTTATCTAGCTGATAGAATATTTCCAGGATATATCTAATATCCTGTTCAGTGCTTAGAATAGCTGGTGATGCCAATTTTACTCTAAGTAGCTGTGCAACATGAATTAGAGAATAGAGGTATCTTTGTAATGAATATTGTTAAATGTTTAGATGGAACGTTATATTTGGAGATCAAGGGAATTTGTTGTATCTCTGAATTTATATTGTCCTCTAGTGTTCTTTAATTACAACTTCTAACACACTAATGTTCCAGCAGATGAAATATAAAATCTAAATTTATATATGTACTCGTTTCGAATCTGTTCTACTTTCTGGGTACAACACAAATAGGAAACTGAATAGTCTGGTTTAATTGCCTGAGCTTTAGGGAACGAAGGAGATGATATTACAACACTGAAAACCAATAACCCTTGTATACTGATCATAAAAACTTAGGCAAAATGTGTATTTTGTCCAGGCCTGGCCATCTCCCACAGTTTGAGAAACAAACGAACATGATTATATGAGAGACCGTCGTAGTGTCAAATTTATTTGTATCTGGGATGAAACACTTCTCAATTTAAGAATAAATCGTAAAAGCAAGGGGAAGATATGTCTAAAGCATGCATTTTTCTATTATGAGTTTTCTCTTAGTAATTCCTTTGAGTACCATTGTTCGCAGGTTCTGTATCACTGCGTTTTTAATTCAATGGGACTTGAAAAGATTTGATGCTAAAATGGAATGCTTCAGACTATTAATAGCTCTCCTTTCCTTTCCACTTTCAGTCCTTGAAGAAAGAAACTGCTCAGACCCTGGGGGCCCAGTCAATGGGTACAAGAAAATTACAGGAGGCCCTGAGCTTATCAATGGGCGCTATGCAAAAATTGGCACCGTCTTGACCTTCTTTTGTAACAACTCCTATGTTCTTAGCGGCAATGAGATGAGAACTTGCCAGCAGAATGGAGAGTGGTCGGGGAAACAACCCATCTGCATAAAAGGTAACTTGCAAATAATTTTGAAGTCTGTAGAAATAGATGGAGTTGCTGGGCATTTTGGTAGCTCTCATACATGTTTTTGAGCCCCTGGAAAAATGCCTTCTCTCTTAAGTTCTCACTGGAACCATACATTACTTTTAGGTTGGAAATCATCCATAAAACATTTGCTTCTTTTTTGAACTGCCGAAGGACCTGCTTATCCTAATCACAATGACTTGATGTGATCAAGAAGAGTGATGTAGTTAACAGAGCAGTTTAGGAAAGATGACAAGGCTGAGTTTTATACATGCAAACCCAAGCATAGATTTGAAGCAATTAAAATGCATTTATATGGCTACATTTATCTACTCTCTATGCCATATTAAATTAGTGCAAGAAATAAAAGAACGCAATAGACACATCATCCCTGCCGGCCTATGTAGAGGGAGGTTTGAGATGTTAAGATGTTTAAAAGTATCTTAAAAAGACAGTAAACCCTTGAACATTCAAAGGAGAGTTATAGAACAAATGAGTGGTGTATATTCCGAGAAGGAGTGAAATAGAGATGATTGCATGTAGCAGAGAGCACTGGAACCTGTCTGGGAAGCAGGGAAGGATTTATAGAGGTAAAGAGGAGTTGGGATGATATTCCAGTTAGAAGACAAAGGGAAGGTGGTGTAGGCAGAAGTGAAAGAATCATGGTAAACAAAAAGTGAATCAGTCCTGAAATCTGGGAGGTACATTTTAAAAGGTAGTTGGGGGCCAGAACAAATGGAACGTTGCATAGGGAAGTTTGGACCTTACCGCACTTGAGAGTGGGCATGCATAGTTTCTTGCTGAGTTGATTTCCTAGTTGCTCCAGGTCGACAGCCCCTCTCCTTTTGGTGGCAGGTCACAGTTATCTAGCTGTTTCCTGGGAAGTAAAGCATCTCCTTGGCCTAGATTATCCAGATAATTGCTTCAATCCTCCACTTTCCCTTCTGAGTGTTTGTCAACAACCTGAATCATGGGAAGAGGAACGAAAGAAAGATTTGTGAAAGGAAGAAATCACTTTAGACTTTAGCCAGGAGCAAGCTTCATCCTCACCAGCACAGACTCTGCTTCTTGATTTCATTAAGTATGGAAACGGTGTTGCATATGTCCTTGGAGATTTTTGTCAACTCTTCTCTTACAAATTAATACAAGCAGAGTTCCCTAGGTTGCTAATTAGACGAATGTTGGCTGCTTGATTGGGAAAGTGAGATGGGAAGGATTCCTTTTCACTTGTGAAGAAAGAGAGACTTCAAAAAAATTAAACTGGGCTTTGAGTTGCCCTCAAAGGACCTTTAGGAGCCTTAGTTGCAGCACATGGAGGAATCAGTTACTCAAGATTTATTGATGGTTGACACTGCTGTCTGGCTTTAAATGAGAGCCTTGTGATTCACTATGCTGGGCTATATTTTAGAACCTTGACCTTGGCTTTTATTCTGTATTGATTAAGTTCGCCAATACTATCTATGTGAACAGATAATCCTAATCTATTAATTATCATTGTTTCATATCAGCTGGGGGGAGCATCTCTGCAGAGGTGTTTATTCTACTTGGGTTCTTCAAAGGGGGTTGCCAATTTAGATAAAACTCAGCATGCTCTTTTGCTAAGCGAGCTGTCCAAGTCTGGCTAATGTATCTTACCTTTGAAAGCCTGAGGAATGTGCCCAGGTCTCCAGAAAGGGTGGTCAGGTATGAATCTGAACTGAATGATGTGAACAGTTAATATGGAAAAGGATTATGCAGCATTGTTTTTTTTTTTTTTTTTTTTCTAGCCTGTCGAGAACCAAAGATCTCAGACCTGGTGAGACGGAGAGTTCTTCCAATGCAGGTTCAGTCAAGGTGAGGTTGAAACACCTGAACTCTGCTTTAAAGGCGAATGAACGTTCCTCTCCCACCTCCTTTCCCCACTGGTGTTTGGCCAAAGACAGTCTGAGGTTTCTTAGGGACACTCAGTGCTGACTGGCCAAGGAAGAATAGGGCTCGTTAGATGGAGGCTTATTAGCCAGCTGCCTTTAGCCAAGAGGTAGCAACTGTTGGAAGATGCACAGATTTCATTGGATTGTGGGAAAGTAAGTGGTGGTGGGAAGCCAGACTTTAAGACGGTCTTTGAGGAACTGGATTTTAATACTCGAGTCTTCCTGAAATTACTACGTATTTATTATGCAGCCAGCTGTGGCTTAGGAAGATGTTCTTGGTAGTGACCAATCAGATGAGGCAGGCTGGTGGGGCCAGGAACCGGAGATGAATGACTTGCCCCTGAGGAGGGATGTGAGGCCTCAGGGATACCCACCCAGCGTTTTTCCTGGAAAGATAGAGGTGGGGACCCCTGGTGGCAGCTGTGGAACCTTACACCCATGGCTCCAGAAGGAACCTGCTTCCACTTGATTTCAACGAGGCTTAGTGCCTGGTTTCCTTCAGTTCCCTGCTTAGTTTTTACCTGGCAGAGAGACCTTCCAAGACCATCCTTTTAAAAATAGCAACCCCGGGCTTCTCTGGTGGCGCAGTGGTTGAGAGTCCGCCTGCCGATGCAGGGGACACGGGTTCGTGCCCTGGTTAGGGAGGATCCCACATGCCGCGGAGCGGCTGGGCCCGTGAGCCATGGCCGCTGAGCCTGCACGTCTGGAGCCTGTGCTCCGCAACGGGAGAGGCCACAACAGTGAGAGGCCCGCGTACAGCCAAAAAAAATAATAATAAATAAAAATAGCAACCCCACCTCCACCCTGACCGCTGAGCTGACTTCTTTAGCCAGCGCTCTCTGACCTTTACAGAGCTCTCCAGTTTTCACCTTGGCATCCATCTCCACCTGTTGTCCTACTGACATTTTGTTCATTTATTTGTTCAATTTCTGTCTCCCTGTACCCCACCAAAAAAATGTGAAAGTTATAAGTGCAGAAACATTTTCTGTTTGGTTCACTGAACTTCTAGTTCCTAGAACGGTGCCTGCCACATGGTGGACACCCTCAAAATATTGAATGAATGAGTGAATGAATGAATGGATTGGATCAGTTGGTTCAAGACCTGCTGTCATCTCTCTTTAGCACTGGGTATTCTTGGGCAAATTCCTAAGCTTACTGAGCCTTTAGTTCCTCTTTTGAAAAATAAGGGTGATCACAATAACATTTGTCTCTGGGGACTGTTAAGGATTAAATGCAAGGCAAATAGCTAGCATTTACTGGGTGTTTGCTCTGTGCCCGTTACAATTCTGAGTTCTTTACATATATTAGCTCATTTAATCTTCACTACAACCTCTGAGGTAAGTATTATTATTACCATTTCATTTTAGATTTTATTACTTTTTATTACAGATGGGGAAACTGAGGCTCTGAGAGGGTGAGGAACTTGCCCAAGGTCACATTGCTAGAGGAAGGAGCAACCCAGGATGTAAATCCAGGGTCTTCAGGGGCTGCTCCCTGATGCATGAAGCTTGAACTAAGCCTTATATAAAGGCCTTAAAAACACCTTGCACCTATGAACACCTGTAAGCAGTATCTATTGCTTTTAGAAATGGTAACAATGAATCCCAGTGACTGGAGCTGACCCCAAACAAGTGATCTGAAATATTCAAAGTTCAGGATATTCCTTCATCTCTCACTCTGCCTCTGGCTCTCATTCCATTTCCTTTTCGGGCAAGGCATTTCCTTGGGGACAGTGGCAGTGGAATCCAGTATTTCTACCTACCCTCCTTTCTGACCTTTGTGATTTACCTGGGGCTGGACTCTCCGGTAAGTATTCTTCCCAAGGAGACATCTTGGAGAGGAGGCCCAGAGCTGTTAAAAAAGACATATATACACTACCAAACGTAAGGTAGATAGCTAGTGGGAAGCAGCCGCATAGCACAGGGAGATCAGCTCGGTGCTTTGTGACCGCCTGGAGGGGTGGGATAGGGAGGGTGGGAGGGAGGGAGACGCAAGCGGGAAGAGATATGGGAATATATGTATATATATAACTGATTCATTTTGTTGTGAAGCTGAAACTAACATACCATTGTAAAGCAATTATACTCCAATAAAGATGTTAAAAAAAAAAAAAAAGACCACCACTGGGCTTTGCATTTTGTAAAGCGGTTGTAATGGGGGCTTAGGTGACAAGGTGCCAGGTGTCTCATGTAGATGAGAAAGCAAGCCTAAAACTTGGTTGTAAATATCTTTCTGGAAGATACGCTGCTGAGTGGGGATATGATGGTCTCCAGCAGCCAGGCTCACCCAGGAACCCCCAAAGGCAGCGCAAAACCTTCAATGGCCAAAAGCTGTGTTTGTTTGCAAGTCCAGAAGCTCCCTGAACTGCAGACCTGGTTCTAAACTTGAGCTAAAGATTTGTTGGATGAAATCAATGTGGATGGAATGTTTGCTCTGAGCACAGCACGGTACAGACACGTGAAACAGATATCTTACGATGGATTGGCATGGCAGGGAAACCAGGGTGGGAACCATGACTGCCCTGTGTTGCCTGGGGTACTGTCTTAGCTTCCTGTGTGCCCTTCAGCACTCCTACCTACCTCTCTGGGCTTCCTTCCTCCATTCATTAAATGGGATGAAAACACTGATTCCTAAAGGAACTCTAACTTGTCACTTAATAGTCATTATGCACTGATATAAAATGAGCACAAGTTGTGTAGTGTGCATAGCTCTCTCCCAAGAATCCCAGAGTGGTCTCTGGGTGCTTCAACTTCGGGGCTCATTTAAAAGACCTTTTCACATTCGCACACAACGCTCCTTATTTCTCCCAATCAATGTGCTCTGAGAGAAGGTTTTATTCTCTGAGGTGGACTAATTACATCTGCTAATTGCTAAATCAATTCCTAATACTGCCCCATTATGATAATGGTTAGAGAAAAGCAGCCGCTTGGATTTCTCCCCTTGAAATTAACTTCCTTTTTTGTTTAATTTCACTATTAATTTTTGTGTGTGTGCATGTCTAGCATAGCTTTGGATAGCAGCTATTATGTCAGATATTATGCTCTTTGGTTAAAATTCAGAGCAGCTGGAGGCATGCCAGAAATGGAAATGGAGGAATAAATTGAAGGTTGAAGTGTGCAAAAAAATCTGCTCAGTGGTAGAAGAGGCATTCATGTGTATGTGTGTGTGTGTGTGTGTGTGTGTGTGTGTGTGTGTGTGTATGAGAGAGAGAGAGAGAGAGAGAGGTGTGAGGGGAGAAAGGGAGAGAGACACACAGAGGATGAGATAGCTGTTTTCCCTTCCTCTGTAAGGAATGGGCTTGGATACTAAAAGAGCCACAATGACTGTCTCTGGCCCTCCTCTCTCTCCGGGCCGCGTGCTCCGATGTAGGGAGACGCCATTACACCAGCTATACTCATCAGCCTTCAGCAAGCAGAAGCTGCAGGACTCCTCTACCAAGAAGCCAGCCCTTCCCTTTGGAGACCTGCCCCCTGGGTACCAATACCTGCACACCCAGATCCAGTATGAGTGCATCTCACCCTTCTACCGCCGCCTGGGCAGCAGCCGGAGGACATGTCTGAGGACTGGGAAGTGGAGTGGGCGTGCCCCGTCCTGCATCCCTAGTGAGTCAATGCCTGTCCTTGGTCTAGAGCAGCTTAGATCTCCCATTGCTGCCTATGAAAAGCCACTGACCCTACTGAAGACTTTTTTGGGAAAAACTCCTTGTCCAGAAGAATGGCCCTCTAACACTTTCCCTAGCTTGGTGAAGTCTGAAATTCCACAGTTAGCGCTTCCTTCCTTTGGCTTAAACTTATTCCCCAGGAGAAATGAACTCGTTAAATCTTAGACGAAGTTTTTGGGAAGGGGGGCATACTTTTTGTGGATAATTCTTTCATATTTACTTGGAGAAAAGGGACAGAGCAGTTATTAAACACCAAGTGGGGAGGGGGCTAAAGGTGCTAGAGGGCTTCTGGTGATATCTCCTTGGCTACCCTGTCTAACCCAGTTTTCGTTCTCATCACCCAATGGTATTAATTAGGCTATTGTTATTAATTAGATTATGAGGTATTGATTACTCACAAGGTTATAATGATGATGACTGCAGTAATACATGGAAGTGTCTGGAATAGGGTCTTGCACATACTAAGCTACCCCCATCCTCTTTGTCAAAGAAGAAGAATATGGCTTAGTTCGAGGTGGTCATCTTTATAGCAATAGTCATGATATTTGAATTTAGCTGTTTATATACATCATCTCATCCACTCTCCTCAAGAACCCTAGGAGACAGTTGTGATTACTGTATCCATTTTGCAGGCAGGAAGACTGAGACTGTAAGAGATTAGGCAACTTGCCCAGTAAGTGGCTGGGATGGTAAGCCTCCAGTCGTAATCCTAGACTTTATAGTCAACCATGTCAAGGTGGTTGATTAATGTTTAAAGGGAAAAGAAAAACGGGTTAGATGCTCTGTGGTCTTGACATCCATAGGGTCCACCTTTCCAGATTTGTGCTCTGTTGGGTGACTGACACATTCCCCTTTGGATGGGAAGGTCTGAGTTTACATTACTGAGCTGGTGCTTTCTCCATAGTCTGTGGGAAAACTGAGAACGTCACTGCTCCGAAGACCCAGAGGACACGCTGGCCGTGGCAGGCTGCCATCTACAGAAGGGCCGGTGGGGTGCACGGGAGCAGCCCGCACAAGGACACGTGGTTCCTCGTCTGCAGCGGTGCCCTGGTCAATGAGCGCACCGTGGTGGTGGCTGCCCACTGCGTCACCGACCTGGGGAGGGTCACCGTGATCAAGACAGCAGACCTCAAAGTCGTCCTGGGGAAATTCTACAGGGATGATGACCAGGAAGAGAAAAGCATCCAGAGCTTGCGGGTGAGAGAGGGCTGCAGCCTGGAAACCGGGTCTCTGGCTCAGCAACTCCCAGTACTGGGCGAGCAGTGACTGTGTCGGTCCTTTGGCATCCAGCCCAGAGCCTGGAAATATTAGGCACATAGTAGGTGGCTAATATATATTGACAGATACTAGAAAGGGGCATCTAGAAAGACTATGGAGTCTTTCCCCCCTAAAATTGTTTTAAAAATAAGATAGTAGGGCTTCCCTGGTGGCGCAGTGGTTGAGAGTCCGCCTGTCGATGCAGGGGACACGGGTTCGTGCCCCGGTCCGGGAAGATCCCACATGCCACGGAGCGGCTGGGCCCGTGAGCCATGGCCGCTGAGCCTGTGCGTCCGGAGCCTGTGCTCCGCAACGGGAGAGGCCACAACGGTGAGAGGCCCGCGTACCGCAAAAAAAAAAAAAAAAAAGATAGTAACAAATATCTTCTCTCATTGGGGTCATCGAAATGTAACCACCTCTTACGTTTAAGACACTGTGCTAGGTAGGCTTTGAGGAAAAATAGAGACTCCTAATAAATTTGTAAGATTCTTCTCTTTCCCTGCCTGCCTCCCTCCCTCTCTTCCATCCACCCACTCACCCATCCAGCTCATCCATCTGTCCATCCATCCTTCCATCCATCCATCCATCCATCCATCCATCCATCCATCCATCCATCGATTGTTGAGTTCCCACAGCATGCCATTTGCTGGGAATACATACAGAACGGAATAAGGCATGGTTTTTGCCCTGAAGAATCCACAGGCTAGGGGAAGAGACAGACCGGTATATCGTGACTAGTCCAACACAATAGAATCCCTGAGTAGATGAGCCCAAATGTAGTTGAAGGAATAGAACACATCCGTGAGAATGTTACGGCATATCACAGATGTAAGCTCCTGGAGGCCCCCGTCAAAGAAGATGATCAGCAAGGATGGGGACAATCAGGAGAGACTTTGTGGAAAAAGTCTGTGGACCACCCTGGGTGTAGCTCTATCTTACTGGCTTGAGGGTAAATGCAGTGTTTACAGTGGACCAGATGTTGCAAACTGGTAGCCTGTAGGGGTTTGTGTTTTGATAGCGCTAACATATATTTTTTTAATCAGTTATTTGCCAACATTTAAAAACCAGGAGGTTTCAGCCAGAGATCTGGAGTCTATTCTCTGGCAAAATGAGCACTTCTGCATGGCAGTGGTCAGCTGGAGCGAAGTGGCAGCTGCCCCCTCTGCATGGGGCATGCACTCCCGTTCTCTGAAACCTCACCTGTCCACTCAACTTATTTAAAACAACCTGCCAGCCAGGCGGGCGTTTCAGTTTGCAACCCTGGGAATAGAGCAGTTGCTTTCTATGATCCCTTGAGAAAAGTTTCTCTGTATAATTGTAGCTGTCTCTTAGACATTTTCTCCCAATCATTTAGCCCCGGGGCTTGCCTGTTCCTGTCACTATGGAGTTGGTCGCTCACAATTGCTGTCCATTCCTTACCTTGGTAGATTTCTGCAATCATCCTGCATCCCAACTACGACCCCATCCTGCTGGATGTGGACATTGCCGTCCTGAAGCTCCTGGACAAGGCTCGCATCAGCACCCGTGTCCAGCCCATCTGCCTGGCGGCCCCTCGGGACCTCAGCACCTCCCTCCAGGAGTCCCGCATCACCGTGGCGGGCTGGAATGTCCTGGCAGATGCGAGGAGCCCCGGCTTCAAGAATGACACGCTGCGCTCGGGGGTAGTCAGTGTGGCGGACTCGCTGCTGTGTGAGGAGCAGCACGAAGAGCACGGCATCCCGGTGAGCATCACAGACAACATGTTCTGTGCCGGCTGGGACCGCGCTGCGCCTTCTGACATCTGCACAGCAGAGACGGGCGGCATTGCAGCCGCGTTCTTCCCGGGGCGGGCGTCCCCTGAGCCCCGCTGGCATCTGGTGGGGCTGGTCAGCTGGAGCTATGACAAGACATGCAGCCACAGCCTCTACACAGCCTTCACCAAAGTGCTGCCCTTTAAAGACTGGATCGAGAGAAACATGAAATGAGCCTCAGGCCCGTCGAGAAGCACTTCCGTGCATCCTTCCGTATGTGTGTTGCCCAAGGCATCGTGGACCTGAAATGTGAATCTGCCCATGAATTTGGCTGTGCCAGGGCTTCTGATGTCAAAACCAGTGGAGGGCGAGTTGAGCTTACTTTCTGGTAGGCCACTGCCTCCCTGACTGCTGGGACCATTTGGAAGATACCAGGGCTGCTTGCAAGAACTCAGTTTCTTCAAAATAGACTACATGAATAGCAAAGCAATCCTCCCCATTCAACTGGCCCCAGTGGCCTTCCCCACCTGCCCTTCAGTGGTGCGAATGCCATGGTCAGCTGTGGTCGAGAGAGGTCTCCTCCAAGGCTCCAGCCAGACAGAGTTCCAGAGAGCCGCCTGCAGGACAGTCCCGGACAGCGGAGCCTGGCTGCGGCACTGGTGTCCGTGCACACTGCCACGTCACGGGGTGGTCCTTTTCCTTCCCAATCCCCTGTACACACTTTAATAAAACAAGGGTTGGCTTCTGACCCACGGAACGAATGTGCCATGGCTCTGATTCCTGCATGCAGCCTCTTTGAGCTACGTGTGTTGGGACCAATGGCTGGGTGGCAGCCCTTTAAGAGAGATCCTAGATTATCATTCCCAAATAATGCATAGAGCAAAGCCGATGCCATCTTTTCAATACCAGTGCTTGCAACTTGCTGGGCCTTCAGGTGGGGGAGAGGGAGGTTGGGCACCATCAGATAAGGCACAAACAGAGGAAAATACCAGGGATTTGAGGATTTCTAGTGTCCCCTCTTGTTCTTATGCTCTAGATCAAGCACAAAACCCTGCTTTGAATCTCTAGAAATCTTTAGGACCTATTTTCGTAGCATCTGAACTGGAATCACCTATATACTCACACTCGATTGAGATATGCCAAGAAACTGCAGCTTCATTCTTCTCTATAACTTCTATGGTTTTCCTTTCAAGCCCCACCCCTGGCTCCCACTGGATAATGGAGGAAAAAAAAATGAATCCAATCCAATCCCTGAAATGATCTTTTCAGGAACGTTCTCTGTTTTGGGTGACTAACTCTTTTATCCTTTCTCCCCTACCCTCACCAGTTTCCTCCTTTCCAAGATGTCCCATGGAGGCTTACGTGGCTTCTAGCCCCGGGACACACACAGTAGGACTCCTGAGTTCCTGCTGGCTCTTGGGTGTGTGTGGTGGGACTTTCTCATTCCTGGGCGTTTTGCCCGCACTGGGTGCTCGTGTCTGTAACTACTGCAACTTGTGCTGTGTTCTCGGTTTCCCTGGGGCCGGCGGTCCTCCCTGCTGACTTAGGTGCTCGTCAGGTCTCGCTGGCACTGATACTCCTGAGATCCGGGGGGACTCCGACTTGACACTGGTTTGGGTTCCTCAGCCTCCTGGCCACAGTGACAGCCTTCTCTGGTGGCTACCCAGCCTGGCTTTCAGTAACCTCCTCTTCCTCCCCTAGGGGCTTGTGGGAACTTCTTGGTCTTTTCCTCACCTCCTGAGGCCTGAGAGTCAAGGGTTGGTACATTCACTTCCTACAGACCCCAGCAGAAACATTACTCTTTCCTCCACTTATGAGAGAAAACTTTGACCCCAAGGACTTTATCCCCAAGGCGGGAGGTCACATCTGTCTTCCAACCTGCCTCCTCAATTCTGTGTCTTTACATAATTCCCTGAGCCAGAAGGGAATTTCTGGTGCTTTCTCTTTTGGTCAGGCTTTCTTGGGGCTTTCTGTAGCTCACGTCGTCCTCCTTTCACCCATCCGCTGCATCCTCACAGCTTAATCTCAGGGCAACGTATTACTTATCAACTTCTGAGTAACAAACATCCAACACGTAGTGGTTAAGCTGGAGTATTGGATTTGACCGATATGTATCAGGCTGCTCAAAGGGTTTCTTTCTTGTTTTTAAGCCTAGAAAATTTGGATCTCGAGAGGTGTAATGGAAGTCAGATCAAAAAGATCTAAATTCAAATTCCTGTCTTTCAACTTCTTTTAAGTGATCTTGGGCAAGTCACCTAACCCCTCCACCTCAGTTTGTCATTTGTTAGGTTGGCATGCTAAACTCTGTCTGTTGTGGTAGCTGTGATGTTGAAATGAGCTACTGTGTAAAGCAATGAACATAGTACCTGGCATGCAGTTTGGTGCCTATAATAGCTGGCAGGGGCAGGGCTGTCCAGCGGGGCACAGCTCCACGAAGCCTCCACATCTGCCACGTCTCACCTGGCTGTCCATGCTCATACTTTCCATTCTTTAACTTGTCCTGACCCCTCACCTGGACCATCACATTCCCTATTTTCTTGACACTCTCTTTACTATCTAGCGTCATTTTCCATCTTTGCCTCACCACTCAGATTTGGTTCACCTTGATGTCATCTCAGCTATGACTTTGTTCCCTTTAGAAGCTGAATCTGGCCCCCAGTCCTGGTGACACCACCTGGGGCTGCTTAGTTAATAGCCTCATGGCCACTTGCCACTCGCCCTAGATCTTTCTACCCCAGCACTGCTCTCACAGGCTGCAAGCACTCAACCAGACTAAACTAAGACTCCAGGTCAGGACGAGAGAGTCAGACAGGAGCCTGTCCCTTGGCCATACCCGGCACTGGAGGAATCTCACCCATCTCCCTTCATCACATGGCCCTTTTGTCTTAGGATAGAACTCCAAGGATGAGGAATCTCTTCTTAGCTGGAAATCTGGGGCGTATATCACTCAGGGTTTTTTCAGACATTCAGAACTTTTAAGGGTCATCTAGAATAAGGGGTTACGATGGCCACATACAATTGTGGGCACTCGTGGCAAAGTCTTTTACAGGCTGTTGCCTTTGCATCTGATGTTGGATCTGGGTTCAGCCGGCCAGCCGTTGGGAAGGAAAGCTGGCTGTGAAATTGGCAGAGCAAAGACAAACTGGAACCCATGAGGACAAATGGAAACCTATGTTTGTCTCTTGCTGTCCCCAACCTCGATGATTTGAGTGACCTGCGCACACACACACCTGGTCCAGGACACTCGGAGAAGCCGGAAGAGGATTTCCAGCAGGTATGGGAGGAGCTGTGGGCCTGGGTGATGTCCCGTGCCAGCAAAAGGTGAACGAGCGGATCAGTGACGTTGTGTATGAGCTGCCACAGTGCCCGATGCTCTTCACCAATTTCCAGAGCACGGAGACAACTGCTGCTTCACTCTCCTTTTCAAATCTCATGTCAGTTTCTCTTGTGCCCGCTCTCACCTGGAGCCATACAGGGAAGGGACCTCTGCAAACATAGTTCCAGCCTCTGAGTTGACACGGAACAAAAGTCATCACAAGTCATCGAAGATTAATGCATGAAATATTAATGTGGTTGTCAACGGGGGACACCTTTGTGGAGAGCTGGGGAAGGCTCCTGATTCATCCAGAATGGTTTGGCTCTAGTTTCTTTTGTAGTGGTTTTTTGTTTTGTTTTATGCACATGAAGCCCCTGACATCTGACATTCTATCGGGGAGGCCTTGGTGCCTAGGAGCTGGCCTGGCACTCACAGCAAAGCTGTGGTGTTCTCCTGTTGAAGATCAATCATTTCACAGGATGCCAGTATCAGTCACGATCATTCTGTGACTCTGACGGATCAAGACAGAAACAAGACTGCTTTAGAACTTGTCTATGAAGAGACAAAAGCAAGGTTGTTATTCAAACCAAAACATACTAACTATCCCCCTCTCCTGGTTAAGAGGAGTGACTGCGACTTCTTTTCCAATGACAGTGTTAGCCTCTATTCTTCCTTCCTTCTAGATAAGATTTATAAAGACAGCCAATTATAGAATTGTCCCCACTTAACTGTTAGCATGCGATCCAGAACAAAACCCCACTTCCTCGGAACCCTCCCCCAAATCACCTAATAGAAGCCCAAATCCTATAAGAAGTTCATTCTAATCCTCCCTTGATGAAATACCCCACATTTCCCCATGATGTGCCTTCTCTTTCACTTCAAGGAGCAATAAATTCAACTTGTTCAACTAAGGTGTATTTCTGGTGGTCTTTGGCTGTAAGGCATTGAAAAATATATAGACACACACATATACATATAGGTATACAAGTAAGAACCTTGCCTAAGTCATACAGATTTTACTTAAATTTCCATACTCTATGTTAACATTTATATGATGCATAAAATTTAAGTAAACTCAGCATGATGTAAGCCAGATTCTTGCTTTCCTTAGGAGTGTCCAGGTTTACATATCAAGTGGACTTTCAAGAATTACTGAGTAGTCAACCCATATTGCTTTCTCTCACATAAACTCCAACAGGAATCGAGAGCAAGGGGCACTCCAAATAGGCCTGTGTTTTCAGTTAACTTGTCACTCACAGGGTAGTTAGAACTTCAGTTGAGTCTCTGGAGTGGTGGATGGGAAGGAAGTAGAATATTGTAAATACAGGAAGAGCTTGGAAAGCACATAAGATTAAACATGGAGGGGAACTGGCTTAAAGAAGGGCCAATTCTTTCCCAACATGAATCCTTTATTGCAATGACAGGCCAGGTTGGCCAGCCAAGGTGAAGCCAGCCAGGGTGAGGCCAATTGGTGGTGGATCTCAAATGCTAGGATCAATAATTTGGCTTCTCATTGCCTGTTTGCAAACATCAAGCTCACGTTGATGTCTCCAGGAGCGTGAAAGGATAGAAGTGGAATTCTAGAAAGGCCCATCAGGCTGGCTGTGCTAGACAGAGACAGTGGTTAGAAGACCCAGCTTGATCTCAACTCCCAGCCCTGTCACTTACATGCTGTGACCTTGAGCATGACATTCAATCCCTATCCCACAGTTATTCCATCTGCAAATGGGAGCGAAATGATATGAGGGGTCGGTGAGTTAATGTGCATGTGAGTGAAGTATGTAGAACAGCATCTGACCCACTGCACTCTATAAATATTGGCCACTGTTATGATGGTTGTTGTTTCCTTGCTGTTCTTGAAGGAGGGGGAGACTGGAGATGGAGAAGCCAGTTATAAGAGACATTACAAGGGGTGGAGAGAGGAAGAGAGGATTTAGAATGCTGTTGTGGTCCACGCATGTGGAAATACGTTTGGCAATCTGTGGGGTGAGCTTGACAACAGGGAAGGGTGGGCAGAAATAAATGGGCGCCACAGGTTAGAAGAACCAAGAGAGTTGAGAGCAAAACGCAGTGAGACTGTGTAAGTGGAAGTAGTCTGGATAAATTTCTAAGAAAAAGTACCAGAGCTTGCAGTCAGTTTTTACGCATTTCCCCATCTGCACGTATGTATGTGTACGTGTTCGCTGGGGAGTGTTTTTTTTTTTTGGGGGGGGACGGTGTACAGGCTGGACTTATTAAAAGGGATCAGGTGCCGCTGGACTAGTAGGAAATCTGCAGCCATCTTATCAACCCTTCTCAGCATGCAACCTGTTGTTCTTTGGAGTTATGGGTATGAGGTTTGAATATGAATCTTTACAGTCCTTTGGGACATAAGAATTTTCATGCTTTCAAATTCATCACCTACTCAGAACTTAATGGGCCTTCCACAGTTACCACCTACATCAG